TTCTTCATTCCAGGACCAGCGGAAACCTCAGAAAGAGTAGCATGTGGAAGTCTATGTGATCCAGAAATTGATAGTATTTGCAGGGTAGAGCATGCAGATAATGATAAAGAGTACCTAGTACTAACTTTAACCAAAAATGTTCTCGACAAAGCAAACAAAGATAACGCACACCGATATTTTTCTCCAAATTTTAAGGTGGAGCTGTACTTCACAAAAACAGTTGAGAAGCCGTCACATCCAGAGGATAGCAGCTCAACTTTTGTAACGCCAGATGTTAGTGACAATGAACCCGATCATTACAGATACTCTGACACCACTGACTCTGACCCAGAGCACGAGCCTTTTCATGAAGATCAGTACACACAGATTACAAGAGTCTGACTTTTTTTATCAAGAGGAATTAAAAGCCATGAAAGCAAACTTGAATAAACTGAAAATGGACATTTTTTAAATGGCAATAGGACACTGTGTCAGCTTACCAGTTACGGGAAAGATTCTGTTTCTCTGACCAATCTTGTTTTACCCTGTACATCCACAGTGTTTTGATACTTATTCTCCAGTTGAAAAAGTTTGTGTTGCTGTGTTATGTATGTACCTCTTTGTGTCAAAATGGCTTTTGAAATTTAATTAGAATAAATAGAAATGGCTCTTCCCATTTAATTCCAGTTTTCTAAAAAGTGGACTCAGACTAATGTGTATACTTGGGAATTTTTCCAATTTGTGTTCTCTAACCAATTGAAGTAGCTGAAGAGCTTTGCAAATTACAGGTTTTCCTCCTACCTCTTTGCACTTGTGGCAACAGGTAAGTTCTTTGTCATCTAAGTGAAGTTTCTAAAGGGTTTTTGCTACATCCTAATGCATGTATTCAGGTTCAGGAAATGGAGGGAGTGCTCAGAAAGGAATACATTTTATGCTAGACTCTGGACCACAGACCATCTCCAGCTATTTACGTGTACCTTTCTTTAGCATGCTATGGTTACTAACCTGGGCATTTGAGGAACTGGCTGTTGTCACTGCTTATTGTTTGTGCAATTTTTAAAAAAGGATATTGGTGCGAGAAAAGGCACTTGAGGAAGTGAATTTGTATTGGGGTACAGAAATGAATCGTCTGCAACATCTTAAGAATCCACAAATGAAGGAAATAAAAATGATGAGGTCATAGATAAGAAACAAAGATGTAACCATATAAATGAGAATGTTATCAACAAAGAACGGGCTTGAAACATTATAAAGATTTACAGTGACTTTTTACAGGTGTTTTCTCAAATGTAATGACTGCTTCGTCTCCTGTGTAATCAAGACCAGTGCTAAAAGTCAGATGGTATTAGTGCCTACATCTGTCAACAGTTTATTAGGTTTCAGTCGTATACCTGCTGTGCTTGCTTCACGAGCACCCTGCAGGCTTCTTTAATTTGTAGTACTTCACAGGAAATTTCGAGATTCTACCGTAAGCGGTTTCTTTTTTTAAAGATTTATGTTGCACTTATTCAATCCAGTAGCTGTGAGCCGTCCCACCCTTTGACCTTACACATTCCATGACAATGAGTTTTGCAGTTTTGCACATTTTTAAAATGTCATTAACTGTTAAGGAATGTTACTTGAACACTGAATACATATAATGTATATATTTGAAAAATTGTGTCAAAAAGGAAATTAGACTTACAGGAAGTGTTCAGTACTGCACAAATAAGGCATTTAATTTTTCAGTAGAAATTGCCCTGTATGTGCTCTACCAATTTGTTATTGAAATAATAGACTTTTTTTCAATGTATGGTGATGATTCATTTCTTCATAGTGCTAGATTTGGGAACTAAGGCTTTGATTTATGTGTAAAATATCATCATATATTTGATATGCCCAGACTACATACAATTTTAAGCAGACTATAACTACTATTGTAAAGCTATTGCGAAGATACTGCTAAAAAGATTTTTTTCTCAGAAATGTGATGTCTTCAAAATTATACCTTGACCTTGACATTTGAATACCCAGCCATTATATTTCTTATTTGTGTAAATTCCCATTTTCAATAACTTATTGGTGCTGAAATTTTTTGACTGGCTGTGGTCTGACCTAGTTAATTCACAAGCATAGAGTGCATAGGACTTATTAGAGCAGCATTTATAGAGCTTGATGGTAAATAGATTAAGCACAATTTCATCTAAAATATTCTTAGTAAATAATGTTGACATGTTTTCCATATATCATCAGTTTCATTCAACAAGCAAAGTTTTTAAATTTTTAACAAAGCTGTTAGGATTTACACATTTGTATTTAAACATTGATTATATAGAGTATTGACTGACTGCTCATTAAGTTAAATTGATAAAGTCAGAGACTATTCCGCAGATCTCCCCACTGAAATTAACATGCCATTTTGTCTTTTATGAAAGCTGAAATTTGAAAAAAAAGCTGAAAATTGACTAAAGTGAAAAATCAATTACTTACATTTTTGAGATCTTTATTAATATTGTTTTTTGTTACACTTTTGGGCACAGCATATTAAAATATAATTTGCATTGTTTCAATATGTAACATGAAGGGCCAGGTTATAAATAATTATAGTGTTAAAAAAAAAAATCTTGAAGACTCCCAGGAGGAGACTGCAGACTGTTGACCTAGGGTTTGTGTTTGGACAAAGGAGGGAAGTTGGAGGTCTGTGATCAGGCCTGCATAGGTGATACATGACAGCAGAAGTTTAAAGAAAGTTTTTAAACTCCTGTACAGAGGAGTTTTTAAACTCCTGAGGCAAAACCTCGTACCAGAGATGCCTGTGCCCGGGGGGAAAACCTTCAGGTATCAGGAAAATGGCGATAGTATAAACAACTATGGAAGTAGTCAAAACCCACCACAGTGGGTGAAGATTGCCTGTCAAAACAAGTACCATTTAACAGTGTATGGAGAATGCTTTGGAAATAGAAATGAAAACAGTGGAATGAAGCATGCATGGTAACAGTAGTTATTCTATGGTCAAATAAGAGTGACCTTCCTTGTGTCCCACGGAACCCCAGGAGTCAGAGTCTGCCCGTGAGGTGAACATTCTCAGGTCCGTGGAGGACAGGGGTCTAGGCTGTGCCAAGAAGCAAAGTGAAGACCTCTAGAAAGGACAAGGGTGACTTGAGGACTGCAGTTATTCCCCTCCTGTCACTCCTCAGGCACAATAATGGATGTGATGTCTCTTGACTGCCACCTCTTAGAGTCAGGGAGATGTCCTTGTTCTGAGGTGCTGCTTCAGATGAGGGGAGTGGAGAGGAGCCCAGCTCGTGTACAGGTGCATGCCAGAGCAGAATGGGGAGTGTGGAAACCTCATCCCAGAGAGAGTGTCACCAAGCAATTGAGACATGCTGTTCTGTCCTTCCTGCCCTGCCAGGAAGGGATTCCAAGTGAGACCATGGTGCCATTCCAGGGAGCTTAAGAGTCGGTTCCTGGGTCTGAGGAGAACAGTGTAAGGGCCATAGAGCATAGGGTCCAGGCTTTGCCAGGACTCAAGGTGATGATCCCTAGGGAGGTTGGGTAATGGGGAGCCTCCCTTCAATGCCTGTTTGAGACCCCAGGCATGTTGCTGAATGCAGGGTCCACTCACTGTGACTCATTCAAGTAGAGTCACAGGACAGCCGATTGTGAGTTTCAGGCTTTAGGTGAGAGGAGCACAGTAGCCCAGCCTCAGCTAGGGTTCACTGTGATGGTCGGGGATGGGGGAGATGACCCAACCCAGAGAAAAGGTCTAGAAACTATCCAAATCTTCCTCTCTTGTTGACCCTGGACCACATAGGAGCCAGTTTGTCAGAATGAATTTCATCTTCGGGGTCTTTGTAAGACAGCGCCTTGGACAAGCAGGAAGAGAATCAGGTCCATGGAAGACTGGGGTACTGGCTCTGCCAACAGCCAATGTGTGGATCGCTAGGGAGGTGCGGGGGGGTGGAGAATTCCTCTCTGCTCTTGTTGTGAGCCCTGGGAGTCTGAGCATGTTCTCAGATGTGATGTCCTCTCACTGCTGCTTCTGTGGTCAGGAGACGAGAGGTCTTGTTCTGAGCTATGTGAATTCAGTTGACAGAGCAAAGAGGGCCAAACTCCATTAGGGGTCACACTGAGGGGCTCTGGGGAAGTGAGGAAGCCCCATCCCAGAGACAAGGACCTGGAACAATCTTGATTTGCCTGTTTGTCAGCCCTGCACTTGGGGGGGGGAGAATTCTCATGTAAGAGTCCTTTTTTTGGATCAGAGGATCCAGATTGCAGATTCAGAGCCTTGTTATGAGATTTGGGCTTCAGGGAAGAGGAGTGGAAAAGGCCTGGGCTCAGTTAAGTCCAGATAAGGGCTGTGGGAAAACTGAGGAAACCCCTTCCTAGAGAGAGGGTCCCAGCACCTTCTAGAAATCCTCTGTTTTCTGTCTATGCTGCTTAGTATACAATTCTTAGGATTGTGCCTCCTTTGTCCTCCCAGGGACTTGAGGGATCCTTTTTCTTACCACTTTACTTCATGTGGGAGGAAAAAAGGCTCAGGTCAGTTTGGTCAGGGCAGGATCTGACAGCAGAATGAGGAAGCCCCAACTTAGAGAGATGGTTCCCAAAGTCCCAAACCCGGACCTGCCTCTGTTGTTCCCCTGGCACCAGGGAAAATGTCTCCCAGGAGCACTCCTTTCCCCTCCAGGCACCAGGAGAGGAGATTAAGAGTCTATTTCTCTGGTCCTTGCCTCAGTGGGAGGACTAGGGAGATCTGAGGCTCAATTAGGTAAAGGGGAGGCCCGGAGGGCAGAGTAAGGAAGCCCCAAGGCAGGCTGTGAGTCCTCAAACAACCCAGATCTGCCTCTATTTCAACACAGGGCACTTGGGGAGAGGGAGAATTTTCAGGAAACCCTCCCTTTTTTACCTCAGGGCACTGGGAGAGGAGAGGCAGAGCCTTCCTTTGAGACCTGTGTTTCAGGTGTAGGGAACATAGAGGACTGGGCTCAGTCAGGTCTCTGTGAGCGGCTGTGCGGTGATGTTGATGTCTCAGCTCACATGCCGTTTTCCCAAAAATCCATATCTACCTGTGTTGTACCCACACAGAGCAGATTGGACTGACACTGTAGAGGAGCACATATGATAGGATGGGCCCCTCGCCATGTCTGTTACAGGGACGTGGTTGTCAGAGCCTTGTTCTGAGTCTGCTCTTCAGTTGGGATGAAAAGATAGAACTGGATGTTGCCCCAGTACCAGCTGCTGTAGACAGCCTTGCAAATCTGTTCCCTGTCCAGGTCAGGTCCTGTGGGACTTGAGGAAGCCCCACCCCAGAGAGACTGTCTCTGAACAACCCTGAGTCCTCTCCAGTGTCAAACCTGGACTACGTGGGACCCTGCTCCCCACTTTGGCATCATGGGATCTGGACATCAGAGCCTTGGTGTGTGAGGGTACACTCAATTTAACAGAGATGGGGATTCAGGCTCTGCGGACCACCAAGTGCCAGACCCAGAGGAAAGAAAGGTGGCTCCCTCCCCATCCCACTAAAGGAGCTACATGGGATACCTCTCTGCTCCAGTTATCAGGTCTGGCAACCCTTGGGCATGGTGCCTGGATGTGTGGAACTGCAACTTGCATTGGAGAGGTTCTGAGAATTGTGACAGTCTTCGATACAAAGGAGGGTGCGATGCACTCCAGGACTGAGTGGACCCCACAGAGACCTGCCCCTACTCTGAGTCCAAGGAAGACTCATGCAGGGTTATGAAGCATGATATTCTTGACTTCTTCAATAGAATCTGAGGGACCTTAGGGTCTTTGACTATGAAACAGAGCCTCAGCAAAATGGGGGAAAACAGGCCCTGACCTAGTCAAGATAATTTAAGCACGATTGCAGGACCCAGGACACATGACACATGCGACCCAGCCTGCCCATTCTTTCAATCTGAGTGCAGTCCTGCGTTCCTGCCTCAAATCTGGGGGAGAGGATGCAGGTTGGGGAAGGGTGAGGCTATTTCTAGACTCTAGGAGAGGAGTACAGGGAGGATTGCACACTAGACCAGAGGGTGACCTTCCCCCAAGGAGAGCCCCTGGAACATGCAGTGCACCTTTGACCTTGGCTCTTGGTAAAGGAGAGAAGAGGGCCTTGATCTGGGCAGTGTACCCTCAGGTCAGCAGATCCAAGACATGGGAAGCCCGGCCCTGCTGGTAGGCTGGGGTGGCCACAGGCAGGACCTCAGAGAAGAGTCATCTGCACGGTATGTCCACCTCTGCTGTCCTAGCAAGGTGGTGGCCTTGATTTGCCAAATACAACCTCAGGTCAGCAGCAGGGAAATGTGAACACCTGGGCCTGCACCAGACAAGGGAGGGACTCTGGATTCTACTCCTCTTTCAGTCTGGGGAAACCCATACAGAGGTGTGCAGGTGTGCTGTGTTTTTGCATCTGCTGTTTCAGGGAGGTGGCCCATGCTGTGAGAATCTCATCAGGTATCAGGAGGAGCCACGTCCTGTTGGCAAAGGGAGCAGGCCTGGATCTGCAGGGAATCAAGGAGAGGAACCTAGGTGAGCACTGAAGGTTCTTTCCTCCTTCTGGTACATGTGTGCAATACAGAATGATTATAATCATTGTGGGCACTAATACATGTACATGACACATGTCCCTTCCTTTTTAAATCTCCTTTCCCTCTCTTCCCTCCCCAGCCTTGCATCTCTTGGGATACAGACCACTACATACTGATTACATTCCTCACAGGGGCTTGGTGTGGGTACAAACTTCCATTCCCCCTTTTTTATCTGATGCTCCTTCATCCACTGTTTCTCTCTCTCTTTCCATCCCTTGGTTCCCTTCCAATATGCTGAAGATCTCACTAATTAATATTATTCCACTTTTATTTTGCTGTTGATATTTGGGGTTTCTAATAGAAGAAAAATCATGTGGTATTTAATTTTGTGTGTCTGATTTGTTCATTTAACTTTGTGGTGCCTATGTGCACCTATTTTCCTATGAATGACTCAAGTTTATCCTTCTTTGTGGCAGAGTAGTATTACATTGTGGGTAAACACCACATTGTCTATATCCACGCACCTCTTAATGGACATACAGGCTGTTTCCAAGATTTGGCCACTGAACTGTGCTCCTCTAAACATCTGCATGCATGTATCACTGTGATATGATGTCCTTAATTCTTACAGGAAGATACCTAGAAGATGAACATCAGAGTTGAATGTAATTTTTAGCATTAGTTTCCTAAATAATCCCCATGATATTTCCTTCATAATAGTTCCAGTTTATATTCCCACAAACAATGAAGAAGTGTTCATCTTTCCCCATAGGCTACTTAGCACTTACTATGAATTAATTCTTTTTAGGTAGCCATTTGATTGCAATTGTGCTAAATCTGTGCAACAGTTTTGGAAAAATGTTCACTTTGACTCTGCTGGTTCTGCTAACAGGAGAAAGCTCCCTATTTTCTAATATCTTCTTCCACTACTGTAATTTTCATAGTCGAAGTCCTTCAGTTCCTTGGTTAGGCTATTTCCTAAGTATTTCATTTTTCTCAGTGTTATTGTAACAAGTATTATTTCCCTCAGGTATTTCTCTATGAGTTTATTACTGATGTAAAGGAACTCTACTGATTTGTGTGTGTTGCCTCTGTAACCTTCTACATTAACAAATTTGATTATGAATTATAGGAGGTTTTCTTTTCCACGTCATGAAATTTTAAGTTGTACCATAGGCAATGAAGAAAGCTGCAATTATTTCTTGGCCTTCTGGCTAAGATGAAGTGTAGTATCTAATCTTATCAGGAAGTGGCTCTAGCACTGCCACCAAACATGAACCTGGGAGACTGGGGTCAGGCACATTGCAAGGGGTTTCTTGAAATTTAAGTGAGTGTTTCAGAAGTGTAGAAGAGCACTAAGCCATGTTTCCCTGAGAAATGAAACCACTTGACTTCATCTTCGCCTTACATTTCCCTTAACCCTATTTGCTGAGATATGCAGACCTGGGTATATAGAAGTACCACAGGGACATATTCATGTTTCCTTGATATTTCCCTTAATGTTCCCTTAATAATTCAAAAATTGTGATCGAGTCTGGCCAACATGCCAACATATCTCAGTGCAGCAGGCAAGTCAAAATTGTCTAGCACACAGACAACTGGAATGGGGGTTCAAGCCATAGCCTGTGAGATTCCAGGGCTAAGTCATGTGATAACAACTCAGCAAAGGCCATAGGACTCAAAAAGAATTGTATGGTCCTGGCAGTAAATGTGCCAGCCTTCTAAACATCAAGTTATCTGCTGCATCACTAATTGGAGCGCCTCTGTGCCAGGTTTAAGAGTGCTCTGTTTCTCCTTATGTGCCATGCCTTTATGTTTCTTTCCCCATGCACTCTTCCATAAACCCCCTGTGCCTCCCTGAGTAGTACCAAGAAAAGACATGGGCACTCTGACTCTTGGCTCCTGTTCTGCTGAGAGCAATTGGTCATGCCAGAGCCTCTTCAGCTGCAGATCTCTCTCAATGTCTATTTTCATCCATGTGTCACATTGCTGTTTGGGAGACTAAACCCTCCTTAGGAATTTTAGTACAGAAGGACTGTCCTCCCTCACAGAGCTTGCAGGAGAAATTGGGTACAGGGAGGTGGACCTGGAGCATGACTTAAAGGTAACCCCAATACCAAGATCCACAGTTCAATCTATGGTTCTGTATCCTATTTGAAAACAATCTAGTATTTCCCTACCCAAAGCAGGAACAAGTTATAACAGGTATTCAGGGCTCCAAGATATGATATGAACCATGCAAAATAAGGGAGTTTTAGAGGATAAAGGAAAATCACATCAATGAATGCACACTTTCATTACAAGACACATTTATACTCAGGAATAATAAAACAAGCAAGGCCGGTATGCTTTGGACACACAGTAAAAAATAACTTGAATACTTTGCTCCTTTGTTGTTAGCATTTGGCTTGTAGGTGATATTGGATACAAACTCAAATGAATTGTTCAAAACTGAGAGTTTCTGTTGAGTCACAGGAGGTACTTGGGCTTTAGCATTTGAAAAATTCTGGAATTGTTCAGACTTTGGGGAAGAGATTATTTTACTTCTGAATATATGAGAGAATAGTTGTTTTAATTTGGGTTGTATTATGAATTTGATAGTGTTGTTTTTATTTGAAAATGAAATATACTTAAAGTGATGTGCTTGGGTGTGAAGTTTATAGGGGATAAATTTTGGTACATAATCATGAGATTTCCACAAACAGGTTAACCTACCAGTTTAAGAAGGCATGCCTCTGGCAGTGTGTGTGAGGGCCATGGAAGTGTGACTTACCGTACTGTATATGGTCTCTGCCCCCTTTCAGTTTGGTGCTGTTCCTCAGTTCTTCCTGGCCACCATGAACTGAGCAGCTTTGTGCCTCCAGGACCTTCCCCATGCTGTTTCTGCCTTGGAGACAACCCATCATAGATGGAAATATGAACCAATTAACGCCTTTGTCCTTGAAGTTCTGCTGGTTGTAGCAGCAACATGCCAAACAAGTTTGGGTTTCTTTTTGAGTTTCATGAACTATCCACGGAAAACGAGAGAGAGACAGACAGAGAGAGAGAAACAAAAACAGAGAGAGAAACAGAGACAGAGAGAGAAACAGAGATAGAAAGAGACAGAGACAGAGACCTAGAAAACAAATATAAAAAACTGTAAACACAAAAACAATAGGAAGATCTGAGAGAGACTGGAAACAGCGGAGCTGGTCCCTGAGTGTGGGTAGGGGCAGGGAAGCTGAGGGCTGCACAGGTAGTCATGACAGCATCAGCCAGAGAAAAGTTTTGGAGCTGCTGCATCTATATCACTGCATGGGCTGAGGCATTACCCCAAGCCACTGAGGGCAGTGACCTATGGGTAACAATAGAATATCAGGAGAAAGGAGAGGGTGTGGCTGCAGAGACTGAGCTAATAACCATGTAACCAAGCCTAGATGATGAGGACTGGCTTTCACAACCATTGCTATTTTAATGTAATATAAAGAATGTACTAAAAATAGAATAGCAATGAAGAAATGAATCATGTGTAGTACATCTTGTATAACAAGTATATGCAGTGTACCTATATACATGTGGGAATATATTTATATAAATATACACTTAAATATCCATTTGACATATATAATACACAAACTTACACATGCACACATAGGGTTCGGCACCTATATATAAATATACTCTACATGAACACTATATAGACCTTTTCTTTCTGTTGATATAAAGTCCATGCATACATTTGTTAGAGATGTAAAATAGCGTCCTGCACTAAATGAGCACTGAAAGGTGAAAATAACACTTTGGACTATGAATAGTTGGATCAGATCACAGAACCAGGACTTGCCCCAGTCTTTGCTACTGCTCACCCACTTCCCATTCAACATCAATCTTCTAGAAGGAAAGGATGGAGAGGTCTGCCTCTTGCTGGTGAGGAGATCTCATAAGAAGGCATGGTTGTACTTGACATGGTAACCAGAACTCTGAGCTCCTCAGCCCATGCCTTGAGGTCAGCCTTGGAGACTCCAAACTGTGCAGCAGTATCAGCCTGACTACTCTCCTCTCCTCCCATGACTGTCACTACAGGGCACCCCTGGAGGTGTGGAGAAACCAACAGTAGTAGGCCGAAAAATGCCTGGGCACTGCAACAAATGAAAGTGATGACCCCCAGGGAGGACTAGGGACCAGCAGAATCGTATTCTGTTCTTGCTGTCAAAACCCTGAGCATATAGCTGACATTCTGTCCTGTGGGGTCACATCAACATGAAGACTTTGTTCTGAGTTCCTTACTTCAGGAAGACCAAGGCTCCGTTTAAGATCAAGTTGACAGGCCGTGTGAGGTGTAAGGAAGCCCCCACTCAGAGAAATGTTTCCCAAAATGTCTAATTCTCCCTCCCTTGTTAGCCTTGCACATTCAGGAGGGACTTTTAAGTGAGATCACTGTAAACATAGGTAACTTTGGGGGTCAGAACCTTGGTCTGAGGGGAACAGACTCAAGTCCATAAAGGATGGGGCTCCAGGTGCTAATAGGAAGCAAAGCAACAACCATTAGGGAGTAGGGAGTGAATCCCAAGAATCCTGTTGCTTTCTTTCCTTCAGCCCTTGGAGACCACATGCGTTTTACTGGATGTGTTACCCACTGACTTCTCCTTCTGGGGTCAGAGAGAGGTGAGGTCTCTTCTGACTTGCTTGCTTTAAGTGAAGGGAGCAGAGAGGGTTAGGCTCAATGAAGGTTCACTTTGAGGGGCTGTAGGGAGTGGGGAAATTACTTCCCAGAGAGGGTTTCCAAAAATCAGATGTATCAATATGGCTAACCTTGTACTCCAGGGAAGAATTCTCATGTGGGGACCTCTTTCCCCTTAGGGGACCACAAGTGCAGAGTCTGAGACTTGCTCTGAGGTCTAGGCTTCAGTGGGTAAGAGTAGATAGGACCTCATATAAGTGAGATCAAGGTGACAGCTAAGGAAAGACTGAGAAATTCCAACCCAGAGAAAGAAGGGACCACAACACTCTAGAAAAGACTCTAGAGCCTTGAGTGTACATCACTTTGTAGAACTCTCACAAGTGAGAATTAGCACCCACTGTTATCTCTCCAGGATCTAAAAGGAGAGACAGAGTCTTGCTCCCATGATGGGCATTCAGGTGAGAGGAGCAGAGAGGGCCTGGGATGGGGCTGTTCCAGTTGAGAAGCTGGGTTGGGGGGCTGAAGAAACTGAGAGAAAGAGACACTGATAGAGACAGACAGACAGACAGAGAGAACCAGCTCAATTTGGAAATGTCACTTATCAGCCCTGAGCCCTGAAGAACTCTACAGTGAGAAACCCTTTTCTCAGGTGACCAGGAGAGTCAGATCATTATTCTGAGGTCACTGTTTCACGTGAGAGTAACATGTAGGACCAGGGTCACTGAGGTCAAGGTGAGGGGATGTGTGGGCCAAGGAAAGGTTTCCCCAGGCAGAGAAGCCACAAATCATCCAGATCTTCCTGTTATCAGAGCTGGACCACACTGAGGGCGATTTGGGAGAATGAGTCCCTTCTCATCAGCACAGGAATTCTGAGAGTCATGGCTTTGTCTTCAATTCTGTGCTATGGTGGGGATATGAGGCAGGACCTGGCCTCAGTTAGCTTCTTGTGAGGGATTGCCCTGGGGGACTGAAGAAGCCCCACCAAGATGGGATTCCAGAATAATCCAGATCTGCCTCTGCTGTCCTCTGTTCCCTAGGGCATGACTCTGAGGTTATTGCTCCATTTGCCTCAGGGTACCAACCTGGAGAGTTAGAACCTTGTTCTGAGCTTCTGCTTCAGGTGGCAAAAGTCAACCTGAGCTCAGTTGTCCGCTTCAAGCTCTGTGGGAGAAGGAAGGCCCACAGCAGGTAGAAATCCATAAATAATCATGCAGCTCTGCCTCTTTTTACAGTTCTGCACCACACAGGGCAGAGGAAACCCCTCCCCCAGATCTACCCAGGGGACCCTGAGTGTGTTAGGCTGGTTGTGAGGTCTACCCTGCAACTGTAGAGAGCAGAGTGCACTTGGTTCTTTTAGGGACTGGGGAGATGTTATGGGGGAATGAAGAAGCTTTTCATCAGACATAGGGTTCCCCAACAACAGAGAAATGTTTCTGTGGCTGTCCTTATCTATTTTGGCACAGAATTCCCAGGTGAGCTTCCAGTTTCACCTCAGGGGCTTTTGTAATCAGAACCTTATTCTGAGTGTTGTTCCTCAGCTTCCTGGAACTGAGAGGGCACAGGATCTTTTAGGTCAAGGGGAGATGCTGAGTGCAGATTTAGGAAGCCTTTCCCCATGTTGAGGGTCCTAGTCCATTACCACTTTTCTGCTGTTGTCAGCTCTACATCTCAGAACTGGTGGGTTGATAGGTTACTCTTCCCTCTTGTACAGCCCTTTTCTGATTATATAGTAGCAAAACTGTATCCAGGAAAAGAAGGACATTTGTGGAAGTCAGGAGGCAGTGAACAGATTTATTTTACACTAGTCATCCTGACTGGAATAATTTCCAACAAAAGCTATGCAACAAGTGTTTGTGAGACAGCATTTTTGGATGAGACATAATCAGGTGATACAGAGGCAAGACAGTAGAGCCTGGCAGTTCCATTGATTTCCTAGTAGGGTGAGATCATCGGTTACAGGGCTAGATTAATGACCATCAGTTACAAGACTAGATTAATGGCCACAAAGCTTGGTATAATCAAGTGTTCTGAATTTTTACATATGCTCTTGTGGTTACAGAGGTCTAGAAAGTAATAACAGCACTATGAAACAGTGATAGAGCTAGGCAGCTTCAAAGAGAGCAAAGTTTTAAAAAGAACAATATTTTCGAGTTCAATTTTCCCTTACACTTAGAGATTCTGTGTGTCAGAGCCTTGGTCTGAGGGAGCACACTGAGTTTGGCATGGGATATGTGTCCAGGAAGGAGACCATCCCCACCTGGGGCTGAAGACACCTGAGATTCAATACCCTTGTGTGACAGGTCATCCTCAGATAAGTTCAATGATAGTGTGGGATGGCCAGGAACTAAGGTCAGGAGAGATGAGTCATGTGGTCATGTGCCAGAGGTAAATGCATGTTTGCATGTAGGAAAACATTTTGATGAATGTCTACACTGATTTCCATAGTGGGTGTTGTAAAAAAAAATGTAGACTGTTGCATTCATAGAAGAGGAATGGGTTTGTTGGGATTTTTCAAACGAGAGTTCCATGGATTTTTATATTGTAAAGGGAGAAATAAAGCTATTTACAGAATACAGGAAAGAATTTTTATAAAATTCTAGAACTACGAAAAAGATTCTAGAACTGATAATTGATTTTAGATAAGTCAATGGATAGAATATCATTTTACTTGCATTTTTATCATAACGATGAGCAACTAGAAATTGAAATTATATGATACAATTTAAAATAAGATTAGAGGAGGAGCTGGGGAGATGGCTCAGTGACACAGTGCCTGTCTGATAAGCTCTAGGTTCTGAGTTTGATTCCCAGTACCCCAAAAATAAAAGTAAAAATAAAAAATAAAATTGTGAACCTAAAATAAGATTAGAGAAGTTGAGCTGAACACCAGACAGCTTCCGCAGCCTTGGCGACTGTACTCTCACACCTCCCCCACCAGCGTGGGAACCACACTGGGTCCAGGGAAGCCTCTGGAACCTTGGTAACCACAACTGCCCTCCCTCTCACACCCTGGTGGAAGCCGTACTGAATCTCGGACAGCTTCAGGAACTTCAGGGCACTGCCCCCACCCCTCCCCTTCCAGTATGCAAACCAGGCAAAGCCCTGGACTGTTTCAGTGGCCTCTATGGACATGCTCCACAGACTCCAAAGCCTCTGGAGAGCAGACTTGACCCCTGAACAGGTTCAGCAGGCTCAATGACTGTGCCCTCGCCCCTCTGCCACCCATGTGGGAACAGGGCAGAATCCTGGGTAGCCTCTGGAGCCTCGGTGACTATTAGTGGACCACTACAACACACTCGTGGAGCCCGGCTGAATACAGAACAGCTTCAGCAACCTTGGTTATCAGCCCCTGCTCTTCCCCTACCAGCATGGGACCCAGGTGGAGCCCTGGAGTGCTTCAGGGGCCTCAGTGAACATAACTGGCCCTCCCACATGCCCTTGTGGAAGGTAGGCTGAACCTGAGACAGTTTTGGGAACATGAGTGACCAGGACCCTCCCACACATGCACCAATGCAGAAGTGGGGCTTGATACAGGACAGCTTTGGTACCAACTTATAGAGGCCAAGATGGGTCCTGGACAGCTTCAGAAGCCTCACTGGCCATGAACACATCAATTCCCGATAGTGTGGGAGCCAACTGACCCCAAGAAATCTTCGGGAGCATCAGTAAACTCACTTCATCCCCACACACCATCATGGGAGCCAAGCTAAGTAATAGGGACCTTCGGGCCCTTGAGCTGTCACTCTCACACCATAGTGGGAGTGAGGCTGAGCTCCAGGGAACCTCTGGATCTTTGAAAATGGTGAAGTGAAGGAGCCAAATGTGATTGCAGAACTCCGCTCTGCCTGGAACAAATGCAGCAGACATCTAAACAGAAGAGCTTGGAAGTCATGCACCTGAAATTTCTGAAATGACAGAAACTGAAGTAAAGAAATAACTCCATCAAGCCATAGAAGAAATAGCTCAGAAATAATTTTTCAGGTAAAAAAGAAAGGAAAAGAATGAAGAAAGAATTCCTCAGCCCATCTAAATAAGATGAAAAAATACAAGAGCACAGAAAAATGAGGGAAACCTTGAATGAACAATATAGGAAAGAATTAAAATTCAGGAAATTTAAACTTCCATCGAAAGCTGGCAAAACCGCTTGAATGAAGCTGAAGATAGATTTTCAGAGCTTGCATACAGCGTTGCAGCAGACAATCATGAAAGGAAGGAAATCATAAAAATAACAAGGAACCAGGAAATGTCAATTGAACAGCTGCAAGTAAAGCAAAGAAAAAGAATGTAAGATTAATAGATGCCAAAGAAACAGCAGGCGGCAACACAAATGATATAAAAAGGATATTTGCATAAGTAAGAGCACAAAAGTTCTCAAGCATAGAAAAAAACATACATTCAGGTAAGTGAAGAATATAGAACTCCACTTGGCCATAAACAAAGTAAATATGCACCTAGTCACATAGTGATCAAGATCCCGTAAAACTCAACAAGTGTACCAAGTATTAAAAGCTGTTAGAGAAAACAGATCACATATAAAGGACAGTCTACAAGAATCATCTCACATTTCTCAACACAAGCCATCACATCAGAAAGGTCTTGTAGTGAAGTATTTAAGGTCCTGAAAGAAAACAACTTGCAACCCAGACTGATATGCCCTGCAAAACTACCAGTCAAAATTAATGGAGAAATAAAACATTTGCACAAAAATGAGCAACATATGAAATTCATGAGTGCCAACCAACCCTACAAAGACTACTAAAAGATATCCTAGAAGGAGATAAAAATAACCACAATTTCCAGAACAACAAAATGAAGGAATCATCAAGCAGAGTAAGTTATTAAATAGAGGGAAAAAGGAGGAACCAACGGTAGGAAAATAACATGACAAATATAAGCCAATATATATTAGTTATAACCATTATGGTCTCAATTCACCAATCAAAAGAAACAGATTGGTATATAGCAGCAAGAATCAAAATCAAACAATATGCTGCATACAAGAAACACATTGAGCTCAGAAGGAAATTCATACACTGAAAACCAAAGAATGGAAAATAATACTCCATGCTACAGAAACACAGAAAAAAGTGGGTGTAGGTATTCTGTTTGTAGAGAATGTGAACTTCAAACCAAGAATGATCAACGTGATAAAGAAGGTCACTATATACTTGTTAGTTGAAAATTTCAAGGGGAAGAGGTAATAGTCATAAATATCTATGCACCAAATACAGGAGCAGCCAACTATATAAGAAAAATTTTTACAGACATAAAAAATGGAATAAGCAGTAACACAATCAGAACAGGGGACATTAACACCACATTAACACAATAACATAGATCAACTAGAAAAAAGTGAGCACAGAGATGACATAAATAAACCAAAGTTTGATCAAATGGTCATAGTAGACCTTTACAGAGTGTTCTACCCAACAACATCAGAATACACATTCTTCTCAGTTGCACATGGTATGTTCTATAAAATAGACCATATACTATCCCATAGAACATGCTTAAGCAAATGCAAAAGAATTGAAATTTCCCCATGCATACAATTGGACCATAGTGCAGTGAAATTGGAAATTAATGATAGAAGAAATCTGAAAAACTCCATAAACACATGGAAGTTAGATAACATCCTCCTGAACATCCAATGAATCACAGATGACAATGAAGAAGAAATTCAACAATATTTACAATCAAATGAAAATACAGATACAACTTACAGGAACCAGTGGGATGCAATGAAAGTAGTCCTCAGAGGGAAATTTATAGTGGGGAATCCTCACATCAGGAAGCCAGAATATACAAATAAATAATCTTATTGTTATGGTTGATAAACTGTGTCAACTTGGGCAGTGTAGGGTTTGGCTAAGTGACTCAGCAGGGAGCTGAGGTGCTTACTTAGTATCCATCCTGAGCCCATGGAAGAGGAGGGCATGGAGATTATGTGAGTGCTACATGACCCCTGGGTGGGGGTAGCCTGGTTACAATGTAAGGGAGGGAAAGAAGCTGCTTGCCACCTTTTCTCCCTTTCGTTCTTATTGTTTTTGCTGTTTTGCTGCCATGAATGTTTGCCCTCTGCCATGTGCCACTCTGCCTTGGAGCCAGACAAGTATGGACTGAGACCTCCACAAACTGTAAGCTAAATCAACTTTCTTTCCTTAATTTTGGACATTGGGTATTTTGTC